AGTATCGGTGACAAAGGTCAACCTTGGCAGAGTCCAACTCTCACCGGGAACAAGCCCGACTTACTGCCGGCGATGCGGACCAGGCTCTGACACCGGTCATACAGGAACCTAACAGCCCGTATCAAAGGGCCCGGTACCCCATACTCCCAGAGTACCCCCCACAGGGTTCCCAGAGGGACGCGGTCGAACGCCTTCTCCAAGTCCACAAAGCACATGTAGACCGGTTGGGCAAACTCCCACACACCCTCCAGGACCCTGCTGAGAGTGTAGAGCTGGTCCAGTGTTCCACAGCCAGGACGAAAACTGCACTGTTCCTCCTGAATCCAAGGTTTGACTATCCGACGGACCCTCCTCTCCAGAACCCCCAAATAGACCTTACCAGGGAGGCTTAAAAGTGTGATTCCCCTGTAGTTGAAACACACTCTACGGTCCCCCCTTTTGAATGGGGGACCACAACCCCAGTCTGCCAATCCAGGGGAACTTCCCCCGATGTCCACGCAATATTGCAGAGTTGCGTAAGCCAACACAACCCTATAACATCCAGAGCCTTAAGGAACTCTGGACGAATCTCATCCTTCCCTGGGGCCCTGCCACCGAGGAGCTTTTTACCCCCTCGGTGACCTCAGCACCAGAGATTGGAGGGCCCGACCCAGAGTCCCCAGGCTCCGCTTCCTCAGTGGAAGACGTACCGGTGGGATTGAGGAGGTCTTCAAAAGTATTCCGCCCACCGACCCACAACATCCCAAGTTGAGGTCAGCAGCACACCACTCCCACTATAAACAATATTGGTGGCGTACCGCTTCCCCCCCCCCGAGACGCCGGATGGTGGACCAGAATCGCCTCCAAGCCTTGTGTAAGTCATTCTCCCTGGCCTCTACGAACTCCTCCCATGCCCGAGTTTTTGCCTCAGCGACCACCCGAGCCGCATGTCTTCACTGATAAAAAAACAAAAACATATTTTATACATAAAATGTAAAAAAAAAAAAAAAAGTTTCCACCCCCCGTCCCTCCATCCCGGTCTTCCTGCATGCCAGGGCTCGAATCCGGCCTTTGTGAGCAGGCGGGGCTAGTGGTTCGGCCTCGCGTGCTTCAATGGCTCGACAGCTCGTATGATCTTCCACGGTGACACCACTCGCTCAAATTTTATCTTCAGTCACAAAACACAAAATACACCTGGACTTCAGAATTGAACACGGCATTGTCAATATCGTTTTTAAAATCTTAAAAATAGATCCAGCCGCTGCTCTGCATCCAGAGAAATTGCAAATGGCGGCTCAGTGAAAAGTTTCTGAGATCTAGTGACTCCTTCCCCCTGACCAATCAGAGTCCTGCATTCACGTTTGGTCCAGACTCAGCTTGACTGAGCTCGCTCGGTCCCACCAGAGAAGCAGGGATGAAAAGAGGTCCTGAATCAGCATCAAATCAGCTAACTATACTAGCTAAAGGACTGGTGCAAGAGGGTTCTTTCTGTGGTGGGCTGCCCAGGATTGGGGCTTATTAGGGGCGGTGCAAAAGGGGCATATGCTTCTTGCAGCAATAGCAACCCCCCCCCCCCCCCAAACCTACCCCTGACAAAAAAAACCAAGAGACAAGCGCCCAAGGCAAGTGACCTAGGGGAAACACTTTATTTGCCAAAAGTACAGACTTTAATCTATACGTCAATTTTTAAATTGTGTTCAGTGTTTCCCTTAGACAACTTTTCATGGTGGGCTGCTCATCTCGTTCCGTGATTTTTGTCAAGGGCGGGAGGGGGAACGAAAACTCATCTGAGCTGCACGCTGTTTGTGCCGACAGTTTTCGGGGGTGAGAGATCAGCGTGAGGGTTTAGCACGAGGGAAGAGGCAGTTCTCACTCTGCCTTTAGCTTTTTAGTTATCGCACTTGTATTGCATGCCGCTACATCAGTGCTAGGGGGGGGGGGGGGGGGGGGGGGGGGGGGGGGGGGGGGGGTGCTGAGCATGTGGTTCGGTAGGTGGGGTGCTCAGTTCTGTTGACGGGGAGGGGTACTCCATTTGTATAATGGTAGGGGAAACACTGGTGTTGATAGGCCAAGTAAAACCAGTGTTATGATAATAGCTATGATAAATATTCCACACCACATCTTTTTCTGAAAATCATTGCCATCTGAAGCGCGTTATGGCAAGAGGCTGCAGAAAAGACTGGCAGTCTCAGGGACAAAGCATCACCCTCCACTTTCACCTCCCACCCCCACCCAACAGATCAGTTTTAGTGTGTTTGAGTCAAAATAGGGCTGGACTATATGGACAAAACGTTAATCACGATATATTTATTAATTTCGGCCGATAACGATATAATTCGATATCAGAATCAGAATAAACTTTATTATCATTGCACCGAGATACAACGAGAACATGTACGTACAGTCGTTCGAAGATGGGCGGAGTGCACGAAGCTGCAGCTATAAATAATTAGCGCGGCCTCTTATTCTTATTCAGAATAATATTTTGCTTAAATAAGAAAAGGAAAGAAAACATGAGGAGAGATGGTATAAAAAAAAAGATCTCTCACTCCGTGTCCTAGACAGGGCACGATTTGAGGCATCAAAAAAACCTACCACAGCAAAGCAACATAAACAGACGTTAAACATGAACATATAGTATATCGATATAAACAATATAAAAGACTCAGAAAAACTGTACAAACTGTACAACTAAATTAATGTTCACCTTTTATTTGTATTTAGCCTTCAAAACAATTTGAAATCACCGTCAAAAAAACTTAAAACTCTCAACTTTGTCAATATTAATAGTTCTAACTTTAAACAACAACATAACCTAATCAGACGTTTGCTGCGTGCGTTTCTCTTTTGATGCAGCTGGGGGTGTTGTTTCAGGGACACGTTGGCTCAAACTTTATTGTGCTTCATCTTCTGACTCTCAGCATTTCCTATCGAGTGGAACAAGTTAGATGTTCCCAGTGCTAGTTGGAACGACTCTCCGACACATTTTGCAGCACACTGACTGAAACCTGCAGTTTATTGGATCTTAGATAGCCAAACCACTTCCACAACGCCAAATTAGTCTTTCCTCTCTTATCAATTATGTCATCAGCTTTCTGTTCGCTTGTGAACGCTTGTTCAGCCACATTTTGATGGTCATGGACACTCGATTTGAAGAGAAAACTTAACACACGTTGGAGATTAGCCTAGCCTGCTACTGCTTACTCCTTCTGGACTCGAGCTCTGCGTAACATCTACGTCACCACACACATACGTAGTTGTGTTGCACCTTTTTCTGTCCGGGTTGAAACTGAAGAGGCCGCTTCAACCCGAACAGAAAAAGAAATGTGTCAGTGAAACTCTGTAAACAGTTCAAAATATCAAAAATGTGCTGAACACTCATATCACCGTTATAGAATAAAAGTATATCACGACATATATCGATATCGAATTATTGTCCAGCCCTAAGTCAAAACAATGAGACAATTTTTGAACATGAGAACGGAACTGCCGAGTCAGAACCTCCTAGACCGAGGAGAGGATCATGAAGGAGAAACAGTCTGTCAGACAGAGAGGACTCACTGATGACGAGGGTGATCATGATTTGTGTTAGAAAAGGAAAAGCGGAACAAGCCCCACCAGGATGTCTCTGTAGAGGAAGGGGTCCAGAACCACTATGACTGGGCCAACAGAACCAAGCACCAATTTTGTTCACAACTTTCATGGACAGAATTTCTCAGTGCAGCCAGGGGACGGAGGAAGTCCTGCTCATTGGCCTCAGAATTCATCTCTGCTCTTTGCAGATGATGTGGTCCTGTTGGCGTCATTGTGCCGTGATCTTCAGCTCCTGCTGGAGCAGTTTGCAGCTGTGTGTGAAGCTGCTGGGGTGAGAATCAGCACCTCCAAATCTGAGCTCATGGTCCTTGGTTGGAAAAAGGTAGATTGTCCTCTTCAGGTCGACGGTGAGGTTCTGCCTCAAGTGGAGGAGTTCAAGTATCTCAGGGTTTTGTTCACGAGTGAGGGAAGAATGGAGCGTGAGATTGACAGACGGATTGGTGCAGCATCTGCAGTATTGTGGACTGTGTGCCGGTTCGTTGTGGTGAAGAGAGCTGAGCTGTAAGACAAAGCTCTCTGTTTACTGGTCGGTCTACGTTCCTCCCCTCACCTCTGGTCATGAACTCTGGGAAGGATGCTCCGTGGAGAGGCGCTTCGAGCATGTCCAACTGAGGAGACCCCGGAGAAGACTCTGGACACGCTGGAAAGACTATGTCTCTTTATTGGTCTGGGAACACCTTGGAGTCCCCCCAGAAGAGCTGGTGGCTGTGGAAAGAGATGTCTGGGAGGGATGGAAGAAATCAGAGAAAAAATAAACTGTGGAAGCGTCTCCTCCAGGAACTGAGCTGCATGTCAGCTGTCTGCTCTGAACATGTTGGCTTGTAGCACCTGCATTCCTCAGGTACTCAGCTGATCCATTGTTGTGGTGAAAACACACACAGCCAGCACACACGCACAACATCTGGTAAAACGCTAACCTGTCAACCAACCAAGCTTTCCACGTTTAACCAGTTATCAATGAAAAGAAAGCCACACTGAACAGCCTCCAAATATCCACCTATTTCACCTGACCCCTGTAATGAAACTCATCAAACTACCATTTTTAATCCCACTGAATCAAGAAAGGCATGAGGTCAACTACAACTAAGTCAAATTTAGAGGGGCTTTAATAGCTGAATAACGCTTTCTAATGCTGTGTGTAATGTTAGCAGGTGATTGCGGAAAACAGACGAAGCTTCAAATCAACTTCTTTTATGGAGAAATTCCTTTAAGTTCTCGTTTGAAATCAAGGCCGAAATTGTTAAATGACCCCAGAAGTCAAGTAAAACCAACTGAATGAACAAGATCGATGTCCAGTCCAGTAAAACAAGCAGGTTAACTAAATGCGTCAGATTTCAGCTGGTGGTCAGGATGCTGCTTTGTAGCTGGTAGCTAACCTCAGGCAGGAAGCTAACGAAGCTACAGCGGCTTCAGCTCGTTTGTCTTACCTCTCCTGACAGCCTCGTCATACGGCAGGAATCCGATCCTCGACTCTTTGGCTCCCATGCTCTCTTCATTTCACAACATTGTGAGGGAATAATGTTCCGGTACCAGCGGCTCCGAACTGCCCGGTTCGTTAACGACTGAATGTTTTCAGCCTGCGACGCCTCTGTCACGTGACCTCACTCCACAGGTCAGGCTGTCCAACAAAACCAAGGAACGCACGCGCAGCGACACTCGTCTGGCTCCGGTAAGTCTCTCAAGTGTCTTCTTATATTTGAAATGTGAAATCTTATATTTGAAATCTTCTTATATTTGAAATGTGAAATGACACCGCACGTCCGGGTATTTTGACGGTAACAGTGAAGTGTAGCGCGAGCAGCGACACCTTCTTCTTCTTCTGTTTTATTGGCGGTTGGCAAAGAAACAACTTATGGTGTGCTTTACCGCCACTTACTGGTATGGAGTGTGGGTCAGAATGCTTTTTAAATAAATAAAATAAATAAATTCTATTTACTTGTGTATGTGTTGTCTGTCCTAATCATATCCTATTGATCAGTTTGTTTTAATGAAGAACCTTATCAAAATGTTGACACTTTTACTTCCTGACTCTTTCTGTAGTATGTTTGTGATATTTAATGTTTCTTTAATCTAAGTTCCTCCATCATGTCTTCTTTCTCTCTCATATCTCTGACAACTTAAAATCACATGCTCTATTGTTTCTGTCTCTCCACAGTACTGACAATTTCCTGTTTCGTGTTTATGTAGTGTGAATAATGTGTTGTTCAGTCCAGTGTGTCCAAATCTCAGTCTTGTTCCTAATCTCTCTTCTCTTCTGTTTCTCCCTCCTGTTCTCATCTCTCCCACTCTTCTTTGGATCTTATAATACCATCTAAAAAAGTTAAATCTGGTCCTCTGGACATTCAAAAAAACAAAACAAAGCAAATCAATAAAAAAATGTAGAAACGTTTCGTCTCTCGTCCAAAAGACTTCCTCAGTCTGAGGTGCTGCATTCAGCTCAGTCTCTTAAATAGCACCTTCTCAGAGTGGATCAACCAGTTTTGCTGCTGACAACCAAAACCAGCTGATCACATGCTCAAGAAGGACCATCAGCCTAACAATGGATCATTAGCACCTGATGGCTGTTTACTGTTCACAGAGGGCTGAGTGATACTAGCAATCACAGCATTGTAAGAGGGGGACAGTTGAACCTGGAGGCTCCGCCCCTGTTTAATGATGGACGGTTTCTTTTCACAAAGATGGCCTCCTTTACTCCTCTCTCAAACCATCGTTCCTCTCTGTCCAGGATGTGCACATCTTCATCCCTGAAAGAGTGACCGCTGGCCTGGAGATGAGTGTAGACCTCAGAGTCCTGGCCTGATGATGGTGATCTTCTGTGCTGGGCCATCCTTTTGGCCAGTGGCTGTTTAGTTTCCTCGATGTAAGACTGATCACCCTCCTGACACTGAACAGCATACACAACATTACTGTTTGTGCCGGGGGACTGGATCTTTGGGATGGACCAGTCTTTGCCGTAATGTATTTGGGGGTTTAAAAGCCACTAAGAAGTTATGTTTAGAAAATAAACGTCTCAGTTTCTCTGATACTCCCTCAACATATGGAATGACCACTGGTCTGGGTCTGGGTTCCTCCTTTTCACCTGTTGGCTGACTGGAGTCCTGTTTGGGTTTCTTCTCTGCTTTCAGGAAGGCCCAGTTAGGATATCCACATTGCTCTAGAGCCTGTCTTGTGTGGGATTTCTCCTTCTGCCTGGCTCCCGAGCTAGTGGGGACGCTGTCTGCTCTGTGATACAGAGTCCTGATGACTCCTAACTTGTGCTCCAAAGGGTGATGGGAGTCAAACTGCAAATACTGGTCTGTGTGGGTGGGTTTGCGGTACACCTCGGTTTGCAAATGTCCTCTATCAGAGACTGAGACCTCACAGTCCAAGAAAGCCAACTTGCCATTTCTTACATCTTCTCGTGTGAACTTGATGTATTTATCCACAGAGTTGATGTGGTCAGTAAAATGTTGGACTTCCTGAGATTTAATTTTAACCCAGGTGTCGTCAACATACCTGAACCAATGACTTGGTGGTGTACCTGAAAAGGACGTCAAGGCTCTCTTTTCTACCTCCTCCATGTACAGGTTGGCAACAGTAGGAGAAACTGGAGACCCCATAGCACACCCATGTTTCTGCCTATAATATTGC